GTGTACTAGAATGGTTTCAAAACCGTAAAAATGAAACTTAACTGGGCACTGGAGTTAGGCTTTTCGTTGGATAATAGTCATATGAGTTAGGTTGTGGTTTATCAAGATGAAATATTGTGGTGGCAACATTGGGACTCTAACTTCCATTCTGTCTGTCATGAGTTGACAGATTAACCCTGGCGGCTATAGTATGTACCTAGCTGCAAAGGACTAGGTGGCTAAGTTGCTCTATTAGGTGGGCATTTTTGATTCGATTAAATTCCGGTTGTTCAACCACATTAGGTAATAGCAGTTTAAAAACGGTTTTTCTCTCAGTTAGCAGATTGAATACTATTATATTTATAATTATTTGACTAATTTGTTTGAAAATAGTAAAAAAACAATTAAAAAAATGTTCTTTAACCATTTCCTCCGAGAAATTTCTAATAGTGTACATGATCAGATGCATGGAAATTTCTTGAAAAAAAAATATGGCTGTGCTCAAACTTTTGACAGACACTGTGTAATATCTTTTTATACACAAAGGGTACGATGTAGCCAATATACAATAAATAACTATTTTCATACAACTAAGTTTATTTTTCACTGTTTTAAAACCAGTCTAGATGCAAACGGTTTAAAAAGCGTAAATATAAAAATGTTCTTTGCCATAAACTTTACGGTTAATTGGATGGACTGATTGCTGCCGGTTATTTTACAGCAATTTTAGAATGAAGATTCTAGCAGTGTACCATTACAGGTTTGTGAGTAGGATTGTGGAAAGAAACCACTTATTTGAGCAGAAAACAGTAAATAAAGTATACTTGAATAAAAATTATAAAAATTTGAACAAAGAACAATGGCAAGACTGACGGATTTATCCTCTGGACTGACGAATTTATTTAAGCTTTTTTGCTCCAATCTGAGTAGTCACCAAAGTCACCTGATCTCATAGAACTCGCCTGGGACGAACTTAACAAGGATGTCAGTACGAATACCTTAAAAAATTACTAGTATATTAGAAAATTAAACTAAAAGTTATATTCTAACTAAATACGAAAACATTAGAGTACCAATTGAAAAGAAATTATGTAAAATTTTTATGCAGTGGCTAGTTTGCTAGATCATCTGACTTCATCATAAATTTTCTCGTTGAGCATAATTCCAAAATTATTTGCGCAAAATTTAATGATGTTCGTGTAAAGCGATGTTACGAAATTTACTAAAAATCTTATCATGGATACTTCATTGGATACTTAGTTTATTTCCGAAAGGTGCCTTGTTATTTATTTCGTATTTCAATTTGAATCTTTAAGTTACGAAAGATTATGTGTCAAATATAATTGCATGAAATGTCAGATCTGAATAAAATAATCTCTTGTAATCTTAACAAACAAGGCTAAACAAACAATGACATTAATATAAAAACGCTCCAACTCCTGATATTAGATGATGATTTTGAATGTCTTTCATTTGTGTAAGTACTGTCTCTGTACTTAAGGCATATTTTTTGTTAAAAGGTTAACTTCATGCATTTCGTCTCTTTTAATTTTGCAAAGTATTTTAAATGCATTTTTCTTTTTTATGGCTGCTAATACATGATTTTAAGATCTTTTCCCATGCGAAGTATAACTAAAAGATATGCATGCTAAATTTCTCCATTGCATCAGTAACAAAGCTACTCATCGTATTTAGTTAGTCATTAATTACATAAAAAACCACTAGACATTAAACTAATTAAGACATTTAAATATCGATATAGATATCTTATTATATTATGCATGCGTATACTTATTATTTTTAATTAAATGATTAATAAAACAGATAATCACTCAGTTAAAAAGTTGATTTTAGTCACTAGATTCTTCGTGAGGTAAATCTAGAAGAGTTTTCGCAGAGTTCAACAGAATAATAATAATAAATAAATAAATATTAGATATTTACTGCGAATTTTTGTTTCACTTATTTTTTGATTATAAATAATTGATACAATCACACTTAATATACAAATAATACTAAAATAATAATTGTAAGGGGGCAGGGAACTGTCCTTGCATCAGAAAGGTCCTGGGTTCGAATCCCTGGCAAGGCATGGATGTTTCTTTCTCTCTGTCTGTGTTCTAAGTCCCTTCTCCTTTGTGTGTGAATGTGACCCGCCCTATAAACGGGTTGTGGTTGTGTGAATGGCGCGGCAAAAGTCGAATTCCAGGCCATAGATGGCGCCACTGAAAAACAGGAACAATCGCACCCCCACTGCCTAAACAAACGTAGGACCAAAAAAAAAAAAATTATAACTTACTGTATTGTGGAATTTCACGAGTTGTAATATTGGGTAAAAATATCAGGATATTCTAAATCTCAAGTAAAATTGCAGCAGTAGCGGGAAAGAAGAAAAAAAAACACGATCGAAAAACCTCCTATATTTTGTTAAAATCGGTGCAAATAGAGCACGTAAAAAGTAATTATTTTAATGTATGATTCAAAACTCGTGTGCTGTCAAATTATGTTATTGAAAATATCAGAATTTTTTTTTAATTCATGGGGAAAAGAGTAGTAACAAATCCTTAAAAAATTATCAAAATCCGTTTACATTCACGATGAAATTGGCGTAAATAAAGCAAGTCCAAAACTTATGTGTTTAAATGCCGGATTCGAAATTAAAGTCGCAATAGTGTATAAAAAGTATCAGGATTTTCAAAACCTTGTAGAAATGTGTAGCAATAATTGCCAAAATAGCGATTGAAAATAATTTGACTTGCGATAAAATCGGCGCAAATAAACAATGTCAAAAAATGGTTATCTAAATGAACGATTATTTACCCACGATTCTTAATCATATCGTGCTAAAATATCGAAAGTTTAAAAACCACTCGGGAATGCGCAGCAATAACTGCCAAAAAATGGATCAAAAGTCATTTACATTTCCAAGAAGTTTGCACAAATAAAGCGTTTTATACCTTTCAAAAATCTTGATTTAAGAAACTACAAGAAAATGGGTGGTTAGAACTATCGAAAAGTCATTGGATTTACAATGATCGGCACAAACGAAGAACATCAAAAGTGATAACTAAAATTCGAAATTCGTGTATCGTTATAATGATGTATTAAAAATATTGGGATTTTCAAAACTATGCTTGAATCTGTAGCGTTAACCATAAAAAAAGCGATCGAAGAACTACATTGATTGATATTAGGTGTGTCAAAAACTTAAATGCGTAAATTTCAAACTTCCGAATTTTTTTTTTATTTTTGAAAAAAAAAAATTATTTTGTTCCTTTTTGCTGCCGGTGGCCGCAGGTTGTGCACCCCTAGTTTAGATACTGTTTATTTTAATGAAGATTATTATAGTTACGTGGGCCCATTGACCTCTGATCCAATGATTTTTGTGAAACTATCCATTGAATAGTTTTTTGGTTCTACTTTTAACCCTAGATATATTTTTAAGTTCTCCCAAGTAATTATTTATATTAATTAATGGAAAAAAGTTTGATAATCATACAATTTCCACTTAATTTTAAACTTTTTAGCTATAATATTTGATTTATAACAATTGATATTGAAAATATGCTATCATTATTCCTACCTTGACCTTACAGTAAATCGAATAAAACAGACTTATTCCATTTCTAATTTTTTTTTTTAAAATTTTGATTGAAAATCTTTCCGCTATTCAATTTTTCAAGAATTTAGAAGACACATTATTTTAATACATGATCCTCAGCATGCATGTAAAACTAAATGGTTTTTTATTGTTATATTTGCTTATGAAGACTTGTGTGCTCATTACAAAACACCCTTTAAACGTCCTATTCAAATTTATAAGAGATTGAGGAAATTAGAGAAAAAACATTACAAAGATGCGTCTGTAGTAACATGGAGGTAGCTAGTTCGAACCTCCCCATGTCCGAGGAGGTATGCGTTTTCTGTATTTTTCTATGTTGCGCTGCGTGCATATCGACTTGACAAGGGCACATTAGCCGAGCTTTGTAATGAGTACACAAGCCTGCGTATGAGTGCATAACAATAAATAAATAAAAATGAAAATAAATAAAAATAAATAAAAATATGAATAAATAAATATAAAAATAAATAAATAAACATGAAAATAAATAAATAAATATAAATAAATAGATGCATTCGGGATTACGTTGAGATTTGTACCCCCCGNTGTACCCCCCCCCCCAGTCTCTTCTCTTCCATTTTAGAATGTTGGAACAGCCCTGATGTCGTAATTTCATTTACTCTAATGTAGTAGTTATTTAGTAACAGTTGAATGACTGATTTAGTTCAGCCCTGTCCAGGCATTTGTACATTTACAAATGCATATTTGTTACATTTTATTAATGTTGGTAGGTGACAACTAACAGTTTACATTAAAAAAGACCCTCCGACGAAAAGTTAAGTTACAAAGTGCTTGCCGTATTGTTAAAATTCTGACTTTTGCTTAAAATCACCTAATTTCGAAGCATTTACCACCAAGCAGCATTGCATTAAAAATTATATTTTTTTGTTAATTTTGCCAAAAAGTCATTACCAAAGCGTTTCGGTATAAATTACTTTGATTTTTAGTGTTCCCACGGAGCCAGAAACACGGTAAAATTGATCTTATTCTGGTTGTTTTGACCATGCTTTTTTATCCCTGTAGGGGAGTAATATATTGGTAAACTAAATATTTTTGCAGTTTAATAATTAAAGCAACTTGCTTATTGAGCCTTGTTGACCGCAAATGCATTCTCGAAGAAATACAAATTTCTTTTATATTATGTTTCACAGAGCTCTAGTTTGCTAGATTATCTGACTTCATCATAAATTTTCTCGTTGAGCATTATCTCCCAATTATGCGCGATATTTGTATAAAGTTTATATAGCAATGTTACGAATATTACTGAAAATCTTGTCATGTATTGACTCATTGGAGGCTTAGTTTATTTCTCAAAGGCATTTATTTCGTATTTCATTTTGAGTCTTTAAGTTACGAAATGTCTAATATAATTGCATGAAATGTCAAATCTAAATAAATAATCTGTTGCAATCTTAATAACGAGGCTGAACAAAGAATGACTTTAATATAAAACCGCTCCTACTCCTGATATTACTTTTGAATTTCTTTCCTTGCGTAAGTATTGCTTTTCTTCTTAAGGCATATTTTTCATCACTTTGTGCATTTTGTCTCTTTAATTTTATAAAGTATTTTAATGGCGTTTTTCATCTTTTGTATAGCAATTAATACGTTTATACATTTAATGTAAAGTATATAATAATAATATACGTTTTTAACTCCCTTTGCCCAGATGAAGATAAGCATGCTAAATTTTTCCGTTGCCCATATGGCCAATGAAAAAACTACTCATCATATTTAGTTAATCATTAGTTACATAAAAAATCTGTAGAAATTAAACTAGTTAAGTTATTTAAGTATCAATATAGATATCTTATTATATTATGCATGTTTATGTTAATTATTTTTAATTAAGTGATTAATAAAACTGAAAATCACGCAGTTAAAAAGTTGCTTTTTCAGTCACTTGAATCTTCTTAACTTATATCCGGCAGAATCTGTACACAATCGAACAAAATATCAATAATAAATAAATAAATATTAAACTTCTATCACGAATGTTCGTTTATTTCATGACCATAAATAATTAATGCCATCAAGCATAATATGATTTTTACTATAATATGAAGTATTATAGTAAAGACTATAATATATAGTATTACTATAATATAATTTTTACATTGTACATTTGTTGTAATTTTTACATCAAAAATCTAATATCACTAAGCACATTAAGACATTTGAGAATCAACATAGTTATCCTATTTCGTTATGCATGATTATTTTAAATATTTTATATTAAATGAATAATAAAACTAAAAATTGCTGATTTTTCAGTCATTAGATTCTTCATAAGGTAAATCTAGGAAAGTCTTCGCACAATTTAGCAAAATAATAACAACAAATAAATAAATATTAAGTGTTTACTACGAATACTTGTTTCACTTATTTCTTGATCATAAATAAATGCGATAAAACATAATATGCAAATAATACTGAAATAATAATTACATAACTTATTGAAAAATCTTAAGTTATCTTGGCTAATTATAAAATCTTGAAAATCTTGGTTAATTATAAAATTTACTGTACATTTCATAATTTGTACAGTAAATTTTATAATTAACCAAGATTTAGCAAACAAAATTTTAAAAAAAAGTATGGAACTCGATTTTATTGCAGCATAGCAAATTAAATAAAAAAGTTTTGTAACAAATTATATTTGTTATTGCTAATAAATAAAGGTATATTTCTTTATATACCCTTATAACAATGCTTGGGTACATTTTCAATCTTTGATTTATCTTTAAATAGCTTTTTAACCAATACGTAACACACTTTTTTTGGTATTGGTTACAAACTTAAACATGCCTCTGCAGAGATTTTGATCCTCTGCAGAGGGATAGGGTCCCCTACTTTGGTAGCCCGACGACTTGCACACGAAGTCGAGCACATTAAGGTAGAACTGTTTAACAAGGACCCATGCAGTGTACCCGCGATCCCTACGGAGGCTAACCAAAATGGTCACCCACCCGCTCTCTGATCGCAGCCAGCGATGCTTGACTTCGATGTTCCACTGGGAGCCGTGTCTTTGCGATCAGTTCACTGCGGGACCGAAAAAAGATGAAAAGCAGAACACGAAAAACCACAGTGGACGAGGGGGAAATATTTGGGTGAAATGCATTTCCACGCGATATGGAAATGTGGTGAGTTGGCGCTTGACTGGGGTGGAAATAATTTAGGCATTGTAGACAGGGAATTTATGGCCAAGGTTCCAACAATGTGCAGCAATTGTCAATTTATCGAAATTTTGATAACGAATATATCTATCGTAAAATTTAGACTTAGAGAGCACGATATGCCTGTTATCAAGAATTCGAAAAACCATAAATTGCTGGGTATTGTTGGAATCCAGGGCATATGTTTTATTTTGACAAAGCTAAAATTATTTCCACCTCAGTCACATCAGCTCATCGTGATACTCTGGAATCTTGTTTTATTCACACGAATGCCGATTTTCTTGTTAACAACATTAGTTTCTTGCGACAACCTCTATAGCTCTTGGAAATGCATTTTACCTCGATATTCCCCGCTCGGCCACTGTCGTTTTTATTGTACTGCTTCTCAACTTTTTTCTCTGTCAACTACTGTGGTTTTTCTTTAAATTTCGTTTCTCGTCTTTATTTTTCAATTTTTTTTGTTGGCAACTTTACTTTTAATATTTCGAAACACCTTTTTTTCTATCATTCACACCTGGCAAGTCTTGAAAATATGCGCCTGTGTTTGAGTGCTTGAAACACGTCGACTGTTATTTCAATTTGTATATATTTGAAGCAAATGAAATTTTTAATCAAGTAATTTGAACAAGTAATATGTATTATGTAATATGTAATAATAGTATAAGTACAAGATTGTTTTACATGGTGCCGTCAATTAACGATTTAGAAGTAATTTTCCATTTCTAAGGAGTAATTAATTTTAAATTGCTCTATAAATTTGGTTTAATTTTACCGCCTATTTTTAAAGTTATAACGAAAACATTAGACAAAAAAAAGTTTTTATTTCATAAAAATTTTCCTATCTGCAATAATATTTAAGCTAGATTAACAGAATTTCATACAGTTATTGCAAATAACAACCAAAGTAATCGATGAAAGTTACAACTTTATTGCTTGATTTTATGGCATAGAGTGTTCAAAAATACTCGTTTTCTTTCGTAATTTATGGTCGGTCTTTCAAATCTCTGAAAGTCTTAAACTTAATTGCAATGTGTGAGAAATCGCATGAACTAAATACTTATAAGTTTACAAAATAGTCCTCTAAGTATTTATTGAAAAATTAAAAAAAAAAGTTTCTTCTTATTACAAAAGGCTATAGTATAGAGTAATTATTTGTTTATATTCATTTAAATGTCTGTTACATACATTTAAGTTTCTTTTTTTATAAATGTAATTTAGATAGTACTACAGAAGTAAAGATGAAAATGAAACTGACAACTGCTATTTTTTTGTTGACCCTTTTCGTAATGATTTCAGGTAATATATATTTGCATATAGTTATATATCTTCAAAAATTATTTCAGATAACTCTTTGTAATTTCATCATAAAAATAAGACAAGTCTGCAACTAAAAAAGTGTCTAGAAACTTATAGCAAATCTTTAAATATTTTTGGATACAAATTTCAGGACGAATATCAAAAATTTTCGATAAAGGGCTACTTTTACTTACATAACTGAAACACTTTATTTTGTGAAAAACCAATGCATTGTATAACAATCTCTAGAAATAATTACTTAGTGTGATTATGTCCTCACTATTTCTGAAATTCGTTGTTATTTTGTTTGTCTATGCAACATATGATTAAAACAATTTTTTTTAAAAAGAATAATGGCAAGCTCAAGCACATGTTTGATTATGATGGGGGTGATTAGTCCAATTTAGTGATTAGCATCATTGTAGTATTAAGCATATTTTTGGCAGTTTCAGATACATTTAATTTGGATTGGCTGTAGGGATATTTCTTCCAGAAAAATGAATAAAATCGTTCAGAAAAATTTGATTTATTAAGTTTATTAATATTAAATAGAATATGGCCATATTCAAAAATATATAAGTTTTCTAAAAGGACATGAAAATTATTCTCCTCACATTGAGAATATTTTGTAAAGATTGATTATTCAACGGTTCGGACAGAGAGACCCGAAAGGCCACAATGCAATCGCCAATGATTTTAAATTGAAAGAAAATTAATTTTTCCCAACGGATAATAACGACCATGGGAAGAGATTCATGGTTGGCGATTTATCGAAGGATTACATAGCCAAAAATAAAGGCAACTCCACTTAATCAATATTAAATTTGAAAATAATTTGGTGAAAGTGAATCGCCAAAAAGACTGTTAAAATTAGTTGAAATAAAATGTTAGCTGTTACATTGATTGTCAAGAAAATAAATTCGTTTTTTATAAAATCTAATAAAAATTAAATAATTTTTTTAATTTAGTTAAAAATAGATTAAGAATGACAAAAGAATAAGTTTAAGAAATTAAAGAAATTTTAAAAGCTAGGAAATATGTAATGCCTATTGTGGCATCACAATGATATTTTCAAGAAAGTTTTTAGTTTCAAATGGTTGTTAGTAGAGGACAAATGAAGTAAAGCATTCTAATGAATTTTATTGCACCGATTTGAACAAAATCACTCCCAAGTGATTTGCACTAGTAGGTACATACAGAAAGCAGAGTTTTGTACTCACTTGTACTCTTTTTCTAACTTATGCATTGTGCCATCCATCAAGGTATTGTTTCTGGTGCACTTTATCATGCGAAATTCAATAGGAGTAAAATTAAGTTGATAGAACTAATTGCTTAGAAGGAATTAAGGTTTATTGTACTTCGTATAAAATCATTATAGCTTTGAAACTATTAGTTATCCTGATTTAATGTTCTGAGTACGAAAAATTATATAATATACCTCACATGTCTATATAGCAATGCCAGAATTCTTAAAAAGTATAAGTACAAAATTGCACTTTTGCTGGTTTATTATTTGTTTTGATTATTTATTTTTTAAAGTTTTAAATTATAAGTCTCATCGAATGTGAATTTATTATTATTTGAATCAGTGCAAAAATTACACAGTGAGCAATATCTTCTCTTACTTAGATAGCAAAATCAGACAAGCATGAATACGAAAGTGCTCTTTTTATATTTAAAAGCGCAATAACTTATAAACTATAAACTCTCTCTCTCTCATATATATATTTATATGTAGTTAAATTAATTTTATTTTAATTACTTTCTTATTCTCTTTTTTTATCATTCTGTAATTTCTTCCATGTTTTCTCCACATTTTGAACTTATAAACTGGATAAACTGGAACACTTATAAACTGGAATTAAAGCGCTTCTTTCCGGGCAAGAGCTAGACGGTGACAAAAAGTGGTTTATATATTTCTTGAAACGTTCTTTTGATTTGAACGGTGTTAAGATTAGAGGAAGGGTTGAAGAGGTAGAATTTTTAAATAATTATGCTGGGCGTTCGCCTTGGTTACCATAGAAGTTCAAATGTTGTGAGATAATTTTGAGATAATTTAAGCTGGCGTGGCTGATCGCCAAAAGTAGCTGGTGTTTTCGTAATTTTGGTGTTCATAATTCAATAAGTGAATAACTTTTGCCCGAAGCACGCATGTTTTTTGTTCCTGATTTTAACCAAGTGAAGATTTTACCTATTTTTTTTATTCCAGTTTCCGTCGTTAAAGTAGTGGCCGATCACGGATGCCCTGATGATTATATGGAATGTGGAAAGTATTGTAGGGAGACTCATACAAGACCAGGGATGTGCAGTGGAGATACTTGCAAGTGCGTTTTTGTGTAGGGATTCTCATTTGGACATTCGGGCAGTTGATTCTCATATTGTATTACATTATCAAGCGCTATTGATGGAATCAGAAGCTCCAAGCTTGTCTGAATTCTGAATTTGTTGAAGCACACGAACATCAGTATTTAAAAATTTTCTCAACAATGATTATATTTTTGAGTAATAAAGATACTAACATTTATAAATATAAGAGTTGGAAATGAAATTTTGTGCAGAAATCGTTGTTTTTTAAAATTGTGCTTAAGTTTATTTGAAACATCCTTTCATTTAATATGCTTTATATATTTTGAAATAAGCTTCAATTTATTTGCCAGGTAGTAAGAGTTTGAACACCAATGAGAAGGGATGAATCAAAACTAAAATAAAAAGATTGCTTTACTGAATTTAAGAATACCATTCCTATTGGACGTAAAAAGCAATCACACGCAGGCACAATGTAACAAAGTCAAATAAAATTTGATTATTTAATATTTTCCTAATTCCTTGAAATAAATGTCTCAGTATATTATTGATGGTATACTTATAACATTCTTTAAATTTTAACTGGGTTTAGAAAAAAAGGAAATTTAAATAGTAGAGGAAATAAGTTATGTAAATTTATATTTGTTTTTGTAATAAATAATTTACCATAAAAATGTATAATAGGGTATACTTTGTACTACTAAACTAAAGTATAAGACAAACTAAATGATTCACGAAAAAATCACACACGGGTACAATGTAACAAAGTCAAATAAAATTAGAACATTAAATATTTTCTAAATTCCTCAAAATAAATGCCAAAGCATATAATTAATGGCACGCTTATGACATTCGTTTAATTTTATCAAGGTTTAGAAAACGGGAAATAAAATAGTAGAGAAAATAAATTGTAAAAATTTATATTTGTTTTTATAATAAATAATTTTCCATAAAAATATATAATAGGGTATGTTTTGAGCTACGTAGGCTAAAGTAAAGCACAAACTAAGTAAACCACAAGTAAAATATAGAAAGGCCTTAGTGTCTAAGCACCAGATGACAATTGAAAAGTAAATAGATAAACAAGTGCTTACTTATTTAACCAGTAAGGGCAGTGGAACAAGATTAAACAGGTTCTGCTCCTACTGGTTAAACCAATTTGCACTTGTTTTACTTTTCTAAACTCATTTGGCGTTTAGACATTGCGGAAGATTCTTGTTTATAGAAACGAAATTGTAGTATGGCTATTTCTGTGCTTTATTTCTGTTTTATTCACGTTTTGATTTGCTAACATTTTTTAAAAAT